GATGGATGGATGGATATGCAAGGATAGAGATAGAGAGATAGGTGGATGGATAGATGGATGAAGGGAGGGAGGGGCTGGATGGATGGACATATGATAGATAGATAGATAGATATATAGATATATAGATAGATAGATAGATAGATAGATAGATAGATAGATAGGGAGGGAGGGAGGGAGGGATGGATGATGGGTGAACAGACAGACAGACAGAGAAATTAAACATGCCAGGGAAAAAAAGGTTCTCAAAAGAGGGAAGGAACCACCATCACTTCCCCCTTGATCTCATAACTCAGATCCAACCAATTCAGCAAAGGGGTTGAGCCTTCCTGCCCATGGAAGTCCCTCATTTGATCTGCAGACAAGACCGTGTCCCACAGGTAGACGTTGCCGAGTTCTCCTTCAAAAGCTTGCTGAATGGCCAACGAGCCCCCGTAGGAATCCTGATCCTGTCCCAGCAGAATGACCAGATCCTCTTGGATCCTGTACCCCTTGGTGACGACTTTACGGGGCAGGGGAACCCTGTTCAACCAGAGCTGGAGGATGCCAGTGGCCGAATCCCACGCCACGCACAGATCTTCCCATGCTTGCTGGGTCTTTTCCTTGGGCACCTTGAAAACGACCGGTTGGTTGCGCAGGCTGACTTCATAGCCGTCGGCTTCTTTGAAGATGAGGATCTCGTTGGCGTGAGCTCGGGAAGAGGCGGAGAAGAGCCCAAAATTTGGTTTCGGAAGATCAGAGTAATAACTCAGGCAGATGGTGAAGCGGTCCATTGCTCGGTTCTGGCTGGGTTTGAGGAGGACATAGGAGCCGGTGGAACGCTTTGGGAAGAGGAAAACCTGGTCCTGCAGATCTGAAGGGGAAGAAGGGCGAGAAGAGAGGTGGTCAGTAGATGGAGAGAGGCGACGCGCACACAAGCGCACCCATGCGTGATCCGGGGATGGGAGATCGGAAGCGGGAAGCCCGTAACAGTTTGGAATCAGCCGCAGGGGTGGGATTCAAATTTTTAACAACCGGTTCTGTGGGCGTGGCTTAGGCGGTGGGTGTGGCTTAGGTGGTGGGCGTGGCTTCGGTGGTCATGTGACTGGGTGGGCATGGCTTGGTGGTCATGTTATTGGCTGGGCGTGGCTAACTCAATATCACTCACATCGAGGCACGCATCTCCTCGCCTGGCCTCTCATGTCTGTGGGGATGCTGCAAGAGTCGTAAGTGTGAAAAATGGTCATAAGTCACTTTTTTCAGTGCCATTGTAACTTTGAATGGTCCCTCCACACAAGCAAAGTACCAGCAAAGGAGGGAAAAGTCTAGTCCTGCCAAGAATGTAATAAGGATTAACGGGCTGTTGTTACTTCGAACGGTCGCTAACCAAGTTGTTCATAAGTTGAGAACTACCTGTAATATTTCTCTGCCCACGTTCCCAAACTGGCTCCTGGCATCCTCTCCCTTGCCAGGAAAATCCATGCCACCGAGCCTTATCCTTCCCTTTTTCTCCTGCAAAGTTGGAAAAGGGTCACCTGGTCAGCTCAAGGACCACCCTAACCCTGCCAAAATTCCCACTACAAATCCCATCGCTTATTTAATGCCTCACTTACTTTTCTGTGGCGTAGCTTGTGTCAAGCAGGCGAGAAAGAGCAGTAAAAATATCTCCATTTTCTTCTCAGGTAAGGAAGAGCCAGCCAGAGGAATCTGCGTGTGCGTGCGTGTGTGTGCTTGTGTGCTTGTGTGTGTATATCCTGGTGTGCAACAAGGGAAAATCCCAATCCTCAGTCTTCCTCGGTCTGGAAATAGACAGACCCAAAGTCCTGCGGTTAATACTTTTCATGCTGGGTTAATAAGTAAGCGATGTGCCACGGATTGGGAAATTAAACCCCTGCTTTTTGCTTTTTTTAACCAAGCTCAGGATTAGAGGCTTGGAGGTGGGAAAACTGCAAGCAAACCAGGTAGGCCAGAATCAATATTGGCTTCTTTTGAAGTCAATTATTTTTCTGAGCAGGGAGGGAGTTAAGTAAGAGGGGATTTCGGCCAACTGCGTTGGGTAACTTGAGTTTCAACATAAAGGATCCATAACGGAGTTGAAACGTGCCGATCCGTCGTCGGGCAAAAATTACAAATAGAAACAGAAATAAAATAAAATGAACAAAATATGAAAATAATAATTACACATTACAAATATGTTAATGGAAAAATAAAACAAGAAACAAACTCTGAAGGAAGGCTCCAAGGGTATGTTTCTAGTCCTCTTGGAGGTCTCTTGTATTTTTTCTAGTCCTTCTGAACCTTTTCGTCCCCTTGAAGGTAGCTCCTGGCATGATTCTAGTCCAAGTATGTTTCTAGTCCACAGGTCGCTCTCTGTGGCAGCTTGTGCAGAAGAAGAGACGATTTACGACCAGAAAGCCGTATTCTCACAACACACACTACCTGGAGGAGTTGCTTTCTCTCCAAAAGGCCAAACTCGGTTAGTCTGATGTAGCTTTTCCATGGCTTAGCCCAGATCGCTGGCTTCTTGAACCGAATCATGGTCCGAATACCCATATTCAGCAAGTTGTGGTATGTGTTCTGAGCTAGACTACCCAAAAATCATGAAGCCTTTTTCTCCATTTCTCCCTTTTGGGGAAATATAATATTCTGCCTTTTTAAAAAAAAATATTTCCCAAAATACTTCACTCTTCTGGAGGGGGGGGGCTTCCCACACAGCCAAGATTATTTCCCGGTGATGAGCATCCAAAACCTGGAGGCGTCTGGGCTGCGGATGTCACCATTTGAAAGGTTTAGCCTAAGCAGGGGGTTGGACTAGAAGACCTCCCAAGGTCCCTTCCAACTCTGTTATTCTATTCTATATTCTATTCTATTCTCTCCTATATTTTCTCTTATTGTATATTCTATTCTATTCTCTCCTATTTTATTTTATTCTATTCTACTCTCTCCTATACTCTATTCTATTCCTTATTCTATTCTAATTTTAATTCTGATTCTAATTCCATTCCATTCTATATTCTAGTCTATTCTCTCCTATACTCTAGTCTATTCTATTCCTTATTCTATTATTTCTATAAAACTGACTGTTTCCTAGTATGATTTGATTGCTTGTTGTACCCTATGACTAACATTAAGTGTCGTACCTTATGATTCTCAACTCCTGACGAATGTCTCTTTTCTTTTATGTACACTGAGAGCATTTGCATCAAAGACAAATTCCTTGTGTGTCCAATCACACTTGGCCAATAAAGAATCCTATTCTATTCTATTCTATTCTATTCCATTCCATTCCATTCCATTCCATTCCACTCTATATTCTATTCTATTCTATTCTATTCCTTATTCTATTATAATTCTAATTCTATTCTAATTGTAATTCTATTCCATTCTATATTCTATTCTATTGTCTCCTATTCTCTCCTATATTCTATTTATTCTATTCTATTCTACTGTATTCCATTCCATTCTATTCTCTCCTACTGTCTCCTATTCTATATTCTATTCTGTATTCTATTCTATTCTCTCCTATATTCTATTCCATTCCATTCCATTCCATTCTATTCTATTCTATTCTATTCTATTCTATTCTATTCCGAGCATTTCCGCGGGTGGGAAAGTTGAGAGTTTGACGACGGTCCCTCCCTCGTTTTTTCCCGCTTTTCGGGAGAGGGAGAGCGGCGTTTAGAGACGCTCCCATCGGGGTTGTCTGCCCGCTGCTGGAGGAGCCGCGTTCGACACGTGGGAATTCCCGGCCGGCTGGTTCCGGGGCAAAGCCAAGCACGTGGGAACGGGGCGCCGGCACCTCCTCCCTGACTTTATCGCAGGTAGATGGGGCTGGGTTGAGTGGAGTCCAGAGGGCAACGGCCGCTGTTTGTGTGCAGGCTTGGAAAGCCCGGGAGGGGAGCAACGAGGGGGGGGCGTGAAAAGGGTGCGTGTAAATCTTGCAAATGGGGGTGAAGGGTGGGACCCACGGCCCTTCCCGGGTCAGGGAGGGTCGTTTGGAGGAGGTGCGTTCCCAGAACAGCCCCCAGGTCAGCCGGGGAGGGACACGCACCCTCTTCCTCCTCCTCCTCCTCCCCCCGCTGGCGTTTATTTTTAGGCAGTTTTGCAAGGCCGAAGCTGCAAAAAAAAAAAAAGGTTATATTTTCCTGCAATTGCTGTGGTCGGCCATAAGGGGGCGGAACAATGCCAAAAATGCATTCTTTCTTTCTTTCTTTCTTTCTTTCTTTCTTTCTTTCTTTCTTT